AACATGTTCCAGTATCCACCCTCCTCTCCCTTCCTCACTGTCACATGCACTGTCTGCCCACACAGCCATCCCGTTCATTCATAGCAGTCTGTAAATGAATAAACTACAAGTCCCACCTTCCACTGCGGCAGCTCATAGTCCAACTTGTAGTTCTCGTTGGACTACATACTGATCAGTGCGCTCATAATCCATTGAATCTGTCTGTTACAGGACATGCTCGCGGGTGCAATACTTTGCAGGCTAGCAAATATCTGTGTGACTTGCGAGCCAGACCTATATCCACCGCAATATTAACCCAAACCTCTCAAAAATCAAGAAACTGGACACCTCACTGTCCCAAATAAAATAAATAGGATCAGAAAAATATTCTCAGCGGGAGGGAGAGCGTGCAGGAACCTGACATTGCTCGCGGGTGCAATACTTTGCAGGCTCCTGTGTAAAAAAAAAATAAATGTACTTTTTTATTATCTGCAAAATATGTGCATTTATTATTTTTTTACTAATACTGAAAATTAATTTTACTGAATGGGGGGGGGGGTGTATCCCACCGCAGCTCAAGGCCACCTGACGAAAATGTAACTTTTATTGTATAATTAAAAAGTATCACAACAAATCAAATATATAATACATATACACTATATGGCAAAAGTATTGGGCCCGCCCTCCAAATCATGTGATTCAGGTGTTCCAATCCCCTCCATGGACACAGGTGTATAAAATCCATCACCTAGGCATGCAGACTGCTTCTACAAACATTAATGCAGGTCATACAGGAGTCGAATTCCAAACGAGTTTTCTTTAGAAAATTTGAAATTTAATGCGTTTTGTAATCCGATGATGCCACCATTGATTTCGAAATTCAAACAACCGAGTCTTCAGGTTCTCATGTTGCTACAGAAAAGAATTTTCGTGGTCAAGAATTTTCTTTTCTTTCCAGGTCACAGCTTTATATTTCTCACACCATTTCTTCTGCCATTATTGATTCAAAATTCGTTCGTTTCTCAAAAAAAAGATGTCCGATCACTCAAATTCGATGGTCACATGAAAATCCCACTAATGTTGCGAAATTCAAACAAATATTCTTAGAAAAGATTTTTGAAAGAAAATTCTTTCAGAATTTGACCCGCGTATGGCCGGCTTTAGTCTAGATTTGCACCTATGCGTTTTCTGCTGCATTTTGCAGAAACGCACAGCAGTCCATTTAACATGGTTTCCTATGGGACAGGTTCACATCTCTGCGTTTTCACCCTGTGCGTTTTTTGGAAAGGGTCAGGGACTTTTCTAAACACAAAACTTTGCGTTTTTGGTTCTATAGACTTCAATAGAGACGTTGCAGAAAAGCATGTATTGCATGTTTGATGTGGTTTTGAGTTGTTTTTGATGCGATTTTGAGTTGTTTTTGATGCGGTTTTGAGTTGTTTTTGATGTGGTTTTGAGTTGTTTTTGATGCGATTTTGAGTTTTTGATGCGGTTTTGAGTTGTTTTTGATGCGGTTTTGAGTTGTTTTTGATTGCGGTTTGCATTTTATTCTGCCCAGCAACAAGTTGAAAAAGAAACACAAAATGCAGCAAAAACGCGTCAAAAATGCATGTGCAAAAACGCAAAAAAAAACTGCAGAAACTGATCTAGCCTAAAAAACTGGTCAACTTTTCCCAGTCACATGCTGGGGAAAGGACAAGACCTGTAAGGGCCAGTTCACAACAGAAACTGCATGTAACTGCACGTTTTTTCTTGCACCTATGCAGGCAGTTGATGTGCGTTTTATGTGCAGTTGATGCATGCTTTTCTAACTGCATTTGACCTGTGAGGCCACTTCCTTCTTCTTTCCTTTGGCTTCTATGTGCACTTTGATGCATTGCAGTGCTTTTGCATTTGTTTTTGCTGGTTTGCAGTGCAAAGAAATGCAGCATGCTGTACTTTTCTGGACTGCGCTGAACTGCACTGCAATGGTGTGGACTGTGCCCATAGGATTGCCTGGATTTTGGACTGTCTATGCAGCTGGAGTGCAGTTCAAAATGCATTCAACTGCGTTCAGTGTTAAACACTGCAGCAGATTAAAATTCGGTCTCTTCCCTGCTGGGGATGGCCGCATGCCAGGGCTGTGCAAAATACCAATTATTTAGGAAGTATAATGTCTCCCTTCTATGTACACTGCTCAAAAAAGTGAAAGGAAGACTTTTTAATCAGAGTCTAGCATCAAGTCAATAAACTCCTGGGCTATTGATCTGGTCAGGTAAGTAGCAGAGGGGGTTGTTCATCAGTTTCAGCTGCTTTGGTGTTAATGAAATTAACAACAGGTGCACTAGATGGGCAACAATGAGACCACCCCCCCCAAAACAGGAATAGTTTTACAGGTGGAGGCCACTGACATTTTTTTCCCTACTCATCTTTTCTGAGTGTTTTTTCTTAGTTTAGCATTTGGCCAGGGTCAGTGTCACTACTGGTAGCATGAGGTGATACCTGGACCCTACAGAGGCTGCACAGGCAGTCCAACTCCTCCAGGATGGCACATCAGTACGTGTCATTGCCAGAAGGTTTGCTGTGTCTCCAGCACAAGTCTCAAGAGCATGGAGGAGATTCCAGGAGACAGGCAGTTACTCTAGGAGAGCTGGGCAGAGCCGTAGAAGGTTCTTAACCCATCAGCAGGACTGGTATCTGCTCCTTTGTGCAAGGAGGAACAGGATGAGCCCTGCCAGAGCCCTACAAAATGACCCCCAGCAGGCCACTGGTGTGAATGTCTCTGACCAAACAATCAGAAACAGACTTCATGAGGGTGGCCTGAGGGCCCAATGTCCTCTAGTGGGCCCTGTGCTCACTGCCCAGCACCATAGAGCTGGATTCGCATTTGCCATTGACCACCAGAATTGGCAGGTCCACCACTGGCGCCCTGTGCTTTTCACAGATGAGAGCTGGTTCACCCTGAGCACATGTGACAGACGTGAAAGGGTCTGGAGAAGCCGTGGAGAACATTATGCTGCCTGTAACATGGTTTCAGCATGACTGTTTTGGTGGTGGGTCAGTGATGGTCTGGGGAGGCATATCCATGGAGGGACACACAGACCTCTACAGGATAGACAATGGCACCCTGACTGCCATTAGGTATCGGGATGAAATCTTTGGACCCATTGTCAGACCCTACACTGGTGCGGTGGGTCCTGGGTTCCTCCTGGTGCATGACAATGCCCGGCCTCATGTGGTGAGAGTATGCAGGCAGTTCCTGGAGGATGAAGGAATTGATACCATTGAATGGCCCCCACATTCACCTGACCTAAATCCAATAGAACACCTCTGGGATGTCATGTTTCAGTCCATCCGACGCCACCAGGTTGCACCTCAGACTGTCCAGGAGCTCAGTGATGTCCTGGTCCAGATCTGGGAGGAAATCCCCCAGGACACCATCCATGGTCTCATTAGGAGCCTCCCCCGATGTTGTCAGGCATGCATACAAGCACATGGGGGCCATACAAACTACTGAGGATCATTCTGAGTTGCTGCAATGACATTTCAGCAAAATGGACTCGCCTGCTGCATCATTTTTTCACTTTGATTTTCGGGGTGTCTTTGAATTCAGTCCTCTGTAGGTCGATCATTTCATTTCCATCAAACGATGGGGCCATCCTTACGTTCCTAACACATTACCCCGTCCATATCAGTATAGAGATCCAGCAGGAGATTTTTCCCCATTGAGATCTGATGGGTTTTCAAAGTGTTCCTTTGTTGAGCCGTGTATTTTATCTGTGGATTTAGCTGTTTTCCTGGAGTTGAGTTTCCAGTATACAGGATTTCTCAATATAATGGGCTCGTACTTGGGCCTGACTTTCCCTGACTTGATGACTAAGCTCCCCCAACTGCCCTCCCCCTATGTACTGAGAGACCCTTTACTGGCCACAGAATGCGTCTGATGGTACAAAGCGACACTAAATCAGAGGGGGGTAGTGAAGGTCAAGAGGAATCAAACTCCAATTGGACACTCGTACTTACAGGTAAACTTATAATAAATCAAACCTGCACCATTTAGGAGATATTCATTGTCCCTGCAGCCGATTACGCATGCGCTCTGAAGGGACGGCATACCTGTGCTGTTCCTTCAGAGCTCTGTGCTGCGGCCGAGACTCCCGCACATGATGTCATGATGGCTCGGCCAATCAAGTGGCCAGAACCCACGAACCCGGAAAGAAGACCAGGAGAAGACCGAACCCCTGTCAGCAGTGACAGCGCACCGCTGGAGGGTTTCATTCTAAGGTCGGTCTTTCGTAATGTGCTAGGATGCGATGCATACTAGCATATTATGACATTACTTTGCAAGCAGGGGCGGACTGACCATTTAAGCACTCGGGCACTGCCTGAGGGCCCGGGGTCAGTAGGGGGCCCCATGAGAAGCCCCTGGTACCTTTCATTGGCTTTTTCATAGGGTTTTTTGGGTATGGGCCAGGACACAGGGGCCCCATGAGTTGTCAGTCCGCCCCTATTTGCAAGAGTGGTTTTTTTGCTGGTTTACTACCGCTTTAAAGTGGTTGTAAACCCTTACATATATCCAATGAAGTGTCTGGCCTCAGGTGATACACAGAGATGAAACAAATCCTCCTACAGAAGTTGTATCTGTTTATCTGCAACTGTCTATTGTCTGCAGCTATTCACAGTACACAGATCAAAAGTTATTTCTCAGCTTCTAAAAGACAGGGGAAGGGGTCTGATCTCTGACACTGGACAGCACAGGGCTATGTGTAATCTGGGACCTGAATGAAGGGAAAGGACCCCCCCCCCCCTCCCGCTACAAAATCTCATAGGGAAACATTAACACCTTTTGTCACCTTTTGTGTGTTGGAGGGGGTGGGGCCATTTCATGACATTCTGCGGTGTCAGGATAACCTGTCAGAAGTGACTAACAGAGATAACAAAGAGAACAAGAGACAGAAATCACACTCAGTGCTTTAGACTGAGGCAAGTACACACTATAGAGAAAGATGCTTTGTTCATTTTTTATTTCAGAGGTTTACAACCACTTTAACCTCTCTGGCGGTATTCCCGAGTGTAGCTCGGGTAAAGTTTCAGTAGCAAAAGCGTTAACCCTGAGCTACACTCGGGCTTACCATGCGGTGTTGCTCAGGGAGTCCCTGCAGTGCTTACCTTGTCCTTCGCTCCCACGATGTGTCCCCTGCAGCATCCCTGGCCATCTCCTCTGGCCGATGCCGGCATCTGGCTTCCGTGTTACGGTCCCTGTGACGTCGGGACGTACGGGCGCTGGAACGGCGGCAAATTTAAAAATTTTTAGAAACTGTCATTTTCTTAGAAATGAATTTGACATAGTAAAACATTCCTGTATCAAACCATTTCACATACATTTTGTCCCGAGTGCTTCGTCCGGCGCCCTGCCGGTATTTTTACTGTTCTTTCTGCCTGGAAACTGAGAAACGTCCATGGCGTCCAAAAAGCGTCCCTTTAGGTCAAAAGCGGTTTTAGACCGGCTAGAGAACAGCGATAGTAAATCAGAACCATTTTCGTGTTTCAAGTTTTATCATATCCGGGATGTTTAATAGACTCTTGTTCGGACAGATTTCAGTCAGTTATTCCTAAAAATTACAGGCCTACAATAAAAAAAATACATATTTCCATGCAAAAAAATGTACTGCTTTGAGCAAAGAAATACTGACATAATCAGACTGCTAGGGAGGCTACTAAACAGAAATTTACCAGCCCAGGGATCCAGCGCTGTCATCACTCAAGCCAGTCCTTCACTGGTCTTTGGGTCCCCGGTGCCGCCATCTTGCTTGTGGGAACCCAGCTGTGACTTCCTAGTGTTTCACCGCTGGCTTCCCACTGCCCGTGCGACAGATGCACTGCACTTTCTCAATGGTCCAGCAGTCCTCTGGATGTGTCCCAGGAGGTTGCAAGTGGGGGCCAAACGTCCGCTCTGAGCACCTAGATGAACAGAGTTGAAGTGGATGCAGATGTCTGTGAAGGTGGAAGGAAAATGATAAATGTTTTTCAAAAATTTTTATACATAAATATCTGAAAACTGTGGCGTGTATTTGTATTCAGCCCCCTTTACTCTGATACCCCCAACTATAATCTAGTGGAACCAATTGCCTTCAGAAGTCACCTAATTAGTAAATAGAGTCCACCTGTGTGTCATGTGATCTCAGTATAAATACAGCTGTTCTGTGAAGCCCACAGTAGTCTTCTTTCTGGTATCTGCTGTTAGGCCACACTTTGAAATTTTAAAATTGTGCCCAGGGTTGTCTTTAGCAAGACATTGCACTCACAGTTAACCTGGGTCACCAGGAACGTAGTAGAAGATCCCTCATCAGGGTTCATGGACAGTGATAAGACTACGAGGATCAAATCCTTTATCACCGAAAAATATCTATTTTGCGTGTAGCTGCACTTTAAACACTCCTGTGTATCGGCAACACTTCATTACCTGGTGAAAGCGCACAATTCCTAACCTCACAAGGTGACTGTCTGTAGATGACAGGTACTCTTTACAGACATTACGTTCCACACTTTGCTCTCTTTCTTTCTGTTAAGCAGCTGGGTAGGATCCTTCCCACTCCATTCTGCTCATATAATGCTTGGCAGCTCCAGCGAGGTGCTCGCAATCTGTGCGTTCTTCAAGTCGCTGGCGTTCCAGGCTCCGGCTTAGAAGTGAAGAGCAATGCAGTAACACAAGGTCCCGCTCGTCAATGTCTGCTTCTACCAGATTTTCACTCGTAATTATGCCTCTGATGATTTTAATGACACATATGAATATACAAGACATATTCTGTCTGTGACAGTCATTTTCCTCCTTTTGGATAGCGATTGAGTTGTGGATTTGGATGTATTAGAGTTATATAGTTTGTTCCCAAAGTTACCAGTGAGTGGATCTGCAATTCCCCAATCCTGGTCGTGCTTTATAAAGACCTCCACTTCCCCAACTTACAGCCAACCATCCCACTGTCCAATGGGGTGCCGCCTGTGACGATTGTGGCGTCAGACCCCAGACCTTCTCACCAAACTCGTGACCGAAGGACTAGCCAATCTTAAATGATGGAGGCCTTTGCCAAAATGGAAGTTCGCATCCATCTCTGTGTACACCGCCCTATTGTCGTCACAGGTTCTCTGCCAGATGGCCTTTGAAAACAATTCACACCCTATGTAGCACTACCCAATAGGGGCTTCTGTTTATAGCTGGTCCTTCCCAAAGGCTGCCTACACACCAGCGCCAATAACTCAGATTCGGAGATGTCTTTTTAAGATTTATCGCTTGAAGAACTTTAACCCCTTGACGCCGACGGCCTCACGAAACTGGGCTTTTTTCCGTGGTGCCGCATATTTGCATACCTGTCTTTGTGCTGGGAGCGCGCCGAGCGGCGTGCTTCCAGTACCGAGACCGTGGTGTCACTGAGAGCCCCGGGTCCCGTTCTAACGATCGGGACCCGGGACACCCGATTCCGGGTCACGTGATCGCTGTGATAGCCTCTGATTGGCTATCACAGTGATCAGTCACTGTGCAGCCCGGCCCCCTTGTTTTTTTCTCTCTCTATGAATGGAGAAGAGAGATACATTGTATCTCTCTTAACTCCTGGCATAGAGAGAAAAAAATGTTAAAAAAAAAAAAAAAAAAGATAAATAAATATTAAAAAATAAAAGAAAAAATAAAGAAAATACCTAGATCAAGGTTTGATCTAGTTCAGTGCCAGGGTTAGTGTTTGGGTCAAGGTCAGGGTCAAAGGTGAAGGTCAGGGTCAAAGGTCAGGGTTTAAAAAAAATTGGTTTCAGTGTCAGTTAGTGTTAATGTCAGCGTGTTTTAGGTAAAAAAAAAAAAAAGACAAAAACAAAATGCGCACTATTGTTTCTGGGCTGTACTACGGGTACAAACAACAAATATCGTACACGTATATGGTATTGCTATGATCGTCAAGAGCTGGAGAATTTATTTTGGGTTGCTCTTTGGTGGTAGGTTATGGTCGTAACAAGAAACACATAGCTAAATAAAAAAAAAATTTTTATTTTTACTATTTTGGGCCAGTTTTCCTTTGATAAAAAAAAAATCAGGAGATATCCATTACCATTTACCACCAAATGAAAGCCCAATTTGTGCTGAAAAAAATCAAGGTATAATCCACCTGGATGTACAAAGTAGTTGTGATGATATGTACAGTTTTACTATCACATGTCAGCGTTGCAGAATTGTGCATAGGCATTTAGATTTGTTTTACCCTTAGGCGTGAAGGGGTTAAAACAGTAGAGGGGCTAGGGCTTGGGATACTCCAACACGATCAGCAAATACCTATTAGAGGACAGTTTTCTCCTTAGATAATTGTCAATATTGGACAAAGGTCTCACAGGTGAAGACCGTGTGTATGGGAATCCTGGTGAGACGATTGGCAAATAGAAGTGCGCATGCGTAAAGAAATGCGCGATCGCGCACACACACGGTGAAGATTGGCGCCAGACAGACTATTTAAAAGGTGCCTTTGCCTGTGCTGAATGCTGACTGGTCTTCAGCTGTTCCCTGTTTCCTCCTTGTTCCTGTGTGATTTCCTTGTTGCTGACCCAGCTTGTTCCTGACCTGACTGATTACTCTCCTGCTTGATACTTGTTCCTGACTTTGGTTCTGCTTCTGACCTTGGCTTGCTTATGATTTGGTACCTCGCTGTCCGCCCGTTGATGACCCCGACTATTCCTATGACATTGCTCCTGTCTCCCATCCCAGCTCCCTGCCTTGCTCTGGTGCACACCTGGCGACCTACCATACCACCTCTGCATATCACTACTGTTCCTGAATCGGAGGTTCATCAGTCTTCCAAAGTCTCCAGCTGCAAGAGCTGCAAACAACATCTGCTGGCGCTCTTGTCCCCCTGGTCCCTAAACACCCTCTGTTCCACTTCCAGTGGGGTCAGGGCTAGTGACACAAGTGAGGCTGACCTCGTCATTTCAGTCTCCAATCAGGTACGTGACACCATGAGTCAAGTCTGATTGGTATCTGGTGATCTTTTTCCAATGCACAATTATTGGCAGCCAATGCGATTTAGGGTCTTTGCGCACAGCAGGACTCCTGCCACCTTCCAGCTTCCTCTTGGCACAGTTCAGTGAATAAGACAGTCCTTCTCCAGACCAGATACTAGGGTTGCCACCTCATTCCTTTAAAGCCGAACACATATTAATTACACAGGTCCTGATGCTAATTTAGTGCAGATAAGGCATTAAAGTGAGTTTAATTACCACCTTAATCAGCCACAGAACCTGTGTCATGAATATGTGTTCGGTTTTAAAGGGATGAGGTGGCAACCCTACCAGATACCTTGTGGGGAGGTTCTGCAATCAGCGAGGAGCCATCCAGGCCCTCAGCTTTGACATTGCTGAGGCCTCTAGTACAGATGCACAGTCCATAGGCTGCCTAAGGGCAGCAGCCCCTCAGGCTGTGGTACTCTCCAGGGGAGAAGGAACACAGCTCTCCAGTGCTTCAGACTATATATCACCTCTCCAACCACCTTCTGGGAACTCCTGTACAGGGATTGGCTGGAACATGATAAATATTCAGGTTGGTTATGTGAATCTCCCTCACATTCTTCCAGAGGCAGGGAGAAGCAATCAAACTCCCATCCTATGAAGTCCTGAACAGACCAGGACAAACAATCGCTTCTCCTTCCCCTTGCACCTTTTTTCTCTTGGTGTTGGGAAAACTTGTCAGAAGTGAAGTGAAGATAGCAGAGGAAGGAAGCAACAGACAGAAATGACATTTAGTGCTCTGGATTGAGACAAGTACACACTATAGAGGGATGTGCTTTGTTCATATTTCATGTCTGAGGTTTATAACCACTTAAAGCTCAACTCCAGCCTTATTGTCCATGTTGCACATGTAGCGCCCTCCTAGTCAGCTAGGGGGAGCTAGACTCCAATTGTTAGTTAGGACTGAGTAGCAGCCTATGTGTGATAGCTAGTTGGGGTCAAATTGTGGTCAGAGCTGAGAGGCTCTGCACACCAGCCCTCTGAAATTTCCCCCTGCTCTAAGACTTTGGAGAAAGATCTAGAAGCAGTGGGTGGATCTGAGGAGTGGCTAGTCTGTACTCTTAGAGGATCCTGGCCAATCCCCAACAAGGAGCTTGGCAAGAGGCCAGAACAACCTTTAAGAGTTACTGAGCCTGCTCAGCTGCAGGAGAGTTCAGGTGGAAGAGGAGGATGTGAGGCTGAGCAGCAGGGAGCCTGTGAGGGGGCCCAGATGGACAGAGGCTCACCTACAGGCAGAGGTCATTGGAAGGCGGAAAGCTCGGGACTTCACCAGCCCCCCGAGAGAGGACACCTCTGAGGCAGAGAAAGAGCGGCCCAGCTAAAAGGCCTGGTAGCAGCCACCAACCCAACAGCAACACAGGAGAAGGACTGAAAGAGTAAACCTGCACCCCTGGGCCAGATAGGGGAAGGAGCACTCTGGTGGGAAACCAGATTATCACCTACCCGGGACAAAGAGGATTTTTGTGTAAAGACTTGTACATAGTTCAGGAAGTTGTCCTCGGGTTTCTATGTTCCCTTGGGCATCCTGTACACCCCTTACCCCATCCAAGTTCTAAAATCCCCTAACAAAACTCCTAAACAAGCTTAAGGACTCCCGAATGCAAGTGGATGTGAAAATGCGTGTTGCCTGGCTGTGCAGGACTATAGGGGGACCCAAAACTTCAGCAACTCCTAAGGGGGTAGTGCAACACACAGTTGTAAAGGATCCTCTCCTGTACTGAATTTATTTACTCTGATTTCACTGCACACTGTGAGAGTCTCGCGATGTGCGCTAGAAGCTGCAGCAATTTAGATAGAGCCCACCTCATTTTCTGGCTGGAGGACATCCAGAATCTTCTAGATCTTTTGTTCTGTCCCCCCCCCCCCCCCCCCCCCCCGATTTAGTGGATTCTTTCAAACATGGAGGATGGAGGCCCAGCATCACATGTGGATGCCAACTAGGGCAATCGGCCTGCATATATGGTCTGCCTAAGAACGCCCGCTCCTCCACATTGCCATCCACCAGTCAAGGCATTTTATATTTGTAGAACTTTTCACCAGGGCTGAGCGCTATTGAGAGGAGTACTGTGGCAGGGCGCTTGGATGTTTTCAGCACACTTATAGCACCTGCCAGTCCCTCCCAAAAGCCATGATCAGCTTGCATTGCATAGAGAAGCACAGAGCTCCAGTCATTACATCACTGGGTCTAAAATAAGGTATGTAAGGAGAACTAAAAGGTTTTATTCCAAATTTTAATTCCCATGTTAATGATGGGGGATGAACCAGGGAGATAAGCACATTAAACTTCAAGCAGTATTAAACCCAAAACCAAAAGCGGAATATTGCAGCTTACCAATCAATAGAGGTGATGTATTTTTCCTGCTGTTTTCACCTGGTGATCTGGCAGGTAACACCCCTCCTCTATTAGAGCACCCCTACTCTGGATGAAGGAGCACAGGGGGCACAGCAGACAGCAGCATTGCCAGTCTGGGGGAAGGGGAGTGTTACATGTACTAGCAGATTTAGATTCACTAACAAATTGAAACCAAACTCCAGCTAACACTTTATAATCAGTTACAGCAAACAATTTTTTTCGTTTTTGGATAAAGGGTTCACATAGATAAAGAAAACTGATCTTTGTAAGCTACTCTGTTAGTGTTAAATCTCTGTAAACTGATACATCTGCTGGAGAGCTTGATCTATTGAAAAAACAACAGAATTACTGGCCAGATCAATGTGTGAAAATAAAGACTGACAATGCTGCTGGGAAAAAGTGCCCCCTGTGCACCTTCATCCTGGGTGGGGGCGCTCTAATACAGGAGATAAGTTACTGGCCAGATCACCAGGTGAAGCCTAAAAAAAGAAAACTAATGCAGCCACCACATTTAATGATTGGTAAGCTGCAATGTATTACATTTTTGGTTTTGGGTTTAATATTACTTTCAGCTTTACCCTCCCTGTTGGTATTCCCAAGTGTAGCTCGGGGTAAAGTTTCAGTACCACAGGCGGTAACCCCCCCCCCCGAGCTACACTCAGAAATATCCTGCAGCGCTGCTCCGGGATCTGTTCTTCTCTTACCTCATCCTGCGCTCCCGCGATGTCCCCCCTGCAGTGTCCCCGGCAATGTAATCGGTGGATGCCGGCATCTGTCTTCTGGGTTCCGTTCCCTGCGACGTCGGGACGTACGGGGGATGGAACTGGCGGGAAATTTGAAAATGACAAAAAGTGACATTCACTAAATACACTAAAATCACATAGTATAACATTCCTGTATCAAACCATTTCACATACATTTTGTCCCGAGTGCTTTGTCCGGCGCCCTGCCTGCATTTTTACTGTTCTTTCTGCCTGGAAACTGAGAAACGTCCATGGCGTCCAAAAAGCGTCCCTTTAGGTCAAAAGCGGTTTTAGACCGGCTAGAGAACAGCGATAGTAAATCAGAACCACTTGCAGAATTGAGTGATAATGATTCATGGGGGAAATTCCTCATCAGACACTGAAAACGATTCTGCGACTTTGCTCAGCGATGTGTGAACTTGGCGCTCTATTTCACATTTCAGTGTTTTTGGTTTGATTATATTATTGAATTACATTTATTATTATATTATTATTTTTATGATTATTTATAAAATTATAATTTATGTTTTCTTGTTTCAAATTTTATCATACCCGGGATGTTTACTAGACTCTTGTTCGGACAGATTTCAGTGAGTTATTTCTAAAAATTACAGCCTACAATAAAAAACTACATATTTCCATGCAAAAAAATGTACAGAAATTTCAGCACAGAAATACGGACATAAGCAGACCGCTAGGGAGGTTAAACACTGTGGAGAAAAAGTCAATTCTCCGGGTTGATTGTGCAGAGCAGTGTAGATCTCTGAAATGGATGGACAAAAATTCAAATCCTTTGGCAGGTAAAACAGCTCCTACCTGCTTATTTAGATGTTTTCCTGGAGTAATCTTTCAAAAAAAGAAAGCCTATATAAGATTTGATGCTGTTTATGCTCTGGTTTTAGTGGGCTCAATGTTACTTTACCAAGTGTGAGGTTCTTTGTACAGTTCTCAGTGTAGAGGTTTTATATGTATGTTATTTTATTTATTTATTTCAGGTACTTGTATAGCACCGTCAATTTACGCAGCGCTTTACATATGCATGTGCATGTAGCAGTTCATATTTCCGTGTGACGGAGCGGGTGAACTGGAAAGGGTCGGGAGCCGTTCATAGATGTAGCGTGTGCTTCCACAGGCTCCCCCATCTATTTCGGAGTCGGGACATGTCCGTTGTGATCTCTAAGCAATTTCATCTTAATGCGATCCAGAGAGCGAGGCGCCTGTCATCATGTCACTTCTAAACCAAATAGAAAAGCTTGGCATCCCGGAACAGGCTGCACGCCGGGGACTATCAGAGGCGGATCAAAGCGCAGAATACTTTTTATTAACACAAGTTAATTGAGGATAAATGTGCCATGGTGATGATGTCCTGTATGCTGTATAGGATACATTGTGTGATATTAGAAAGAAAAGTGCGTGTGTGTACAACAATTCACAGAACACCCACATATTCAAGACACTTACAGGAGCTAGGTTTGGCATGTTTTTTTTTTTTCTTTCTAAAGAGGAGCTCCAGCCAGTTATTAAAAAAATTGTGTTTGTAGCTGCTGACTTTTAACCCCCTGGCGGTATTCCCGAGTGTAGCTCGGGGTAAAGTTTCAGCACCACAAGCGGTAACCCCGAGCTACACTCGGGAATACACTGCAGCGCTGCTCCGGGATCTCTTCTTCACTTACCTTGTCCTGCGCTCCCGCTATGTCCCCCCTGCAGTGTCCCCTGTAATGTCCTCCGGCCGATGCCGGCATCTGTCTTCCGGGTTCTGTTCCCTGCGACGTCGGGACGTACGGGGGACAGAATGGCGGGAAATGTAAAAATGTGAAAAAGTGACATTCACTAAATACACTAAAATCACATAGTATAACATTCCTGTATCAAACCATTTCACATACATATTGTCCCGAGTGCTTTGTCCGGCGCCCTGCCTGCTTTTTTACTGTTCTTTCTGCCTGGAAACTGAGAAACGTCCATGGCGTCCAAAAAGCGTCCCTTTAGGTCAAACGCGGTTTTAGACCGGCTAGAGAACAGCGATAGTAAATCAGAACCACTTGCAGAATTGAGTGATAATGATTCGTGGGGGAAATTCCTCATCAGACACTGAAAACGATTCTGCGACTTTGCTCAGTGATGTGCGAACTTGGCGCTATATTTCAAATTTCAATGTTTTTGGTTTGATTAGATTATTGAATTAAATTTATTATTATTATATTATTATTTTTTATGAATATTTATTAAATTATAGTTTATGATTTCGTGTTTCAAATTTTATCATACCCGGGATGTTTACTCTCTTGTTCGGACAGATTTCAGTGAGTTATTCCTAAAAATTACAGGCCTACAATAAAAAAAAAAACATATTTCCATGCAAAAAAATGTACCACTTTGAGCACAGAAATATGACATAATCAGACTGCTAGGGAGGCTACCATACACACCTGCAGCGGTTTGCATGAACGGGGTGCGATTCTGATGCGGTGTGGAATTCGCACTGAAAATGCTGCGAATTCCGTACCACATCAGTGTGAACCCGGGCTGAATAAACAGTTAATGAATCAGATAAAAAACTAACGTGAATAACATACTGGTAGATCTGTATCATGACACAAGATAAATAGGATCTAGAATTTATCACGCATAAAATGTGATCTTGAAAATTAAATTGTTTAAATGGCTTATAAACCCAGGGCAATATTCTATCAATAAAGATTGATGCTGATGAAAAATAAGTACCAAACACGAACATATAAAAGGTCTAACATATCGCTCATATCTCCGATGTGCCTTGCAGCACATACAACACAGGGTATAGGCTCACAGACCCAGCACACCCTGATATTCAATTATGACACTATATTATTATTTTTTAGGATTATTTAATAAATTATAATTTATGATTTCGTGTTTCAAATTTTATCATCCCCGGGATGTTTACTAGACTCTTGTTCGGACAGATTTCAGTGAGTTATTCCTAAAAATTACAGGCCTACAATAAAAAAAAATACATATTACCATGCAAAAAAATTTTACCTTTTTGAGCACAGAAATATGGACATAATCAGACCGCTAGGGAGGTTAAAGCCACTTTAGGCAAATAATGGCACTGCAGGCACGTTTTACTGCATATCTGAAAATACAGGCAGAAATGAGCGATTCTGCACACATTTTCAGAGCGAACAAATGTGAATGTAGCCTAAAAAAAATCCTTTGAACCTAAATATGCCCAAAAACACCCAAAACATTTTACATTTGAAAAATAGGGTTGAGTATTATAAATAAAGACGGAATAGATGAAACTGTTACAGCTCCCTCTCACAGCCTGTAGCCCCCAATAGTTATAATTGGCTGAAACAGTCGCTTGCTACAAACGCCCGGGCAGTCCCGGAACGTAGAGACACACTGGAATTCTATGGAAACATCTGCTTCCCCCATCCTGGTGTAACAAGCAATTTATTGTACCGGGGGATAGGAGGGCTGCTGAATGCACCTTCAATGAATGTACTTAGGTTTGTAAGTGGATTTTATTTTCCCAAGTCCCCGGGAGCTTTCATAACATGCGGTTATAAATTCAGGGTAATGCTGTTATCTGGAGCTCTACCACAAGATACAATCTAACATCTCGACATGATTTGTCACCCCATGACCCAGGTACAATGGTGCCGCTATTCATACACAGCAGCAGCACTGCACCTGCTTAATACATTGTAGATCAGCCTGGAAGAGAGGAAATCTGATCAGTTTTATTTTTTTCTTTTGTAGGGGAGTATAGGGAGTTAAACATCGACATATGAACGATTATAAGATTAGGGGTAATACAGGACATTGGTTACTGGAAATTGGTAGGTTAGGGGTAATACAGGACATTGGTTACTGGAAATTGGTAGGTTAGGGGTAATACAGGACATTGGATAAAGGAAATGCATATTATGTGTGCGCAAAATAAGTATTGAATGCATCACCATTTTTCTCAGTAAATATAAACTATATTGCCAATGTATTGGGCCGCCTGCCTTTACACGCACATGAACTTTAATGGCATCCCAGTCTTAGTCCGTAGGGTTCAATATTGCATTGGCCCCGCCCTTTGCAGCTACAGGTGAAACTCGAAAAATTAGAATATGGTGCAAAAGTTCATTTATTTCAGGAATGCAATTTAAAAGGTGAAACTAATATATGAGATAGACTCATTACATGCAAAGCAAGATAGTTCAAGCCGTGATTTGTCATCATTGTGATGATTATGGCTTACAGCTCATGAAAACCCCAAATCCACAATCTCAGAAAATGAGAATATTCCATTGCAATCAATAAAACAAGGATTGTACATAGAACAATATCGGACCTCTGAAAAGTAGAAGCATGCAATGCATACGTACTCAGTACTTGGTTTGGGCCCCTTTTGCAGCAATTACTGCCTCAATGCGGCGTAGCATGGAAGCTATCAGCCTGTGGCACTGCTGAGGTGTTATGGAAGACCAGGATGCTTCAATAGCGGCCTTCAGCTCTTCTGCATTGTTCGGTCTCATGTCTCTCATCTTTCTCTTGGCAATAACAGTATAAACAGCTTCAACTCTTCTGGGAAGGCCGTCCACAAGGTTTAGGAGGGTTGTCTATGGGAAGGTTGGACCATTCTTCCAGAAGCGCATTTGTGAGGTCAGGCACTGATGTCGGGGGAGGAGGCCTGGCTTGCAGTCTCCACTCTAACTGATCCCAAAGGTGTTCTATGGGGTTGAGGTCAAGACTCTGTGCAGGCCAGTCAAGTTCCTCCACCCTAAACTCGCTCCTCCATGTCTTTATGGGCCTCGCTTTGTGCACTGGTGCGCAGTCATGTTGGAAAAGGAAGAGGCCATCTGTCTTGGTATGCTGACGCCTTAAGAGTTCTCTTCACTGGAACTAGGGGGCCAAGTTTAACCCCTGAAAAACAACCCCACATCATAATCCACCCTCCACCAAACTTTACACTTGGCAGAATGCAGTCATGCAAGTACCGTTCTGGCACCCGCCAAACGCAGACACGTCCTTCGGATTGCCAAATTGGATTGAATTGCCAGACAGAGAAGCATGCTCTAGAGTCCAGTGGCGGCGTGCTTTACACCACTGCATCCGATGCTTTGCATTGCACTT